AGTGAAAGGAGATATTCTTTGAGAGATAGAAAACAATTTGATGATTCGTAAATGAATCATATCTTTCCTGAAGTAAGTGAATAACATATCAATGTTGGACTTCTTATTAATCCATTGAATTTGTGTAATACAATGAAGTCCAAAACTACTTTGAAGTGGAAGAATTCTATAGAAGAAGTATATAAATCATTCATGAATAATGAAATATAGAAAATAACTCAACTTCTATCAAATCAATCTTCAATTATTTGTAAATGGGTGTTTAAAACTAAGAAGGATGCAATGGATAATATTATGAGATATAAGGGTAGATAAGTTGCCAAAGTCTATTCACAAGTTGTTAGTATTAATTTAAATGAAATATGTACTTTTGTTGTCATATTGCATGAAGTCTTCCTTAAGAATGCATTAGGCATCTAGTTGTGAAAGATAGAATGAAAATTAATACAACAAAATCTTAACTCTAATAGAATACTAAATAAACTCTAATTAAACCTTAATCATTCTAAACAAGCTTTAATCAAATTCAAAAGAAACCTTGAAGAAATTACAAAAGAAACAATAAAAAAACTTTAAGGAGTTGAAAGAAAATCTACAATAAATCTTAAAAGAATCCTTAAGAAATCCTAAAAATATTAGGATAATCACAAATATATCTTAAATAAATCTCAACCAAGTCCTAATTTAATTCTAGTTGAAACCTTAATGGACTTCAATTAAATCTTAGACAAATCCTAAACTCTAAATCAAAATTTTTAAAAATCCTAAATCCTAGATCAAATCCTAGACAAATCCTAAACCTTGAACCAAATCCTAGATAAATCCTAAATGTTAAATCAAACTCTAGAAAAATCCTAAATCTTAAACCAACTCAATCTATTCCTAGTATTGTTTAGAACCTCAATATCTATCAATCAAAATATTAAACTTGCTTGAAAATTTACATACTTCTAAACAACTAAGTTCCCAAGAAATACACAAAATTTGAAGATAATTGTAATTACCAAATAAAAAAAAAAAAATCTAAAATCTAGTTGGATGTTGATCTAAATCTCAACCTACTTAAAATTCAATAACCTTCTATTCAACTATTCAATCAAACTCAAACTTACAATATACACTCTAAACAACTATTCTCATAGTTCTTTAAAATTTTAATTCTAGAGCTACTACCAAACTCACAAAATTCTCTAAAATGTAATATCCTTTTTATTTCACAAATTTTAGAGTCGTCCAAAACAACTGTGACTTTGCATAGCTCTTGCAAAGTTATTATACACTCAAATCACTCAAAATAAATGTTAAAAGAAACCTTTTCAAGTTTGCTCTTTAATTCTACTCTTTGATCTGCAAAAGAATCCTTGAATTGCCATAGGTGCTCAGTTTTGTGCCTCAAGATTTGATTTTGATCCAGATTGATAACTAGTCTTCTTCAGGTATCAAAATTTTTCCTTTTGAATTAGTTTTTCCTAAAATAAAATTTTAACTTCTTCTTACATATCTTTATATTCTTTATTTTTTTAATATACCTTATTTTGCTTTATTTATGGCCTTATAAAGTAAGTAGAAGGTTACTTTATAAAAAGGTAGTATTTACATATTTTATTTTACTTTCTTTTGGACTCTTATCTATTTTCTAAGATAATTTGCTACAATATTTGAAGTAAGATCTTCTATAATATAATAATTTTTTCACCCTTTTCACCTATTAGTCATGTTACATTACAATATTGTGGCCAAATTTAACACTATTATAATCATTGTGGCAATTGAAGCAGTAATAGATTTGAAGATTTATAATAGATGTAAAGACAGCTTTTTTAAATGGAAGATTAGAAGAGGACATGTATATAGATCAACTTCAAGGATTTATTAAAGAAGGAAAATAATACCTTCTTTGTAAGTTGAAAAAATCTTTGAATGGACTAAAGCAATCACCAAGTATCTAGTATCAACGTATTGACACATTCTCCTTAAATGAAAGATTTGAAAGAAATAAGGCTGATTATTCCATGTATGTGATACAATCAAATGAATTTATATTCATTGTCATTCTCTATATTGATGATTTAATCATCTTAATCAATATCTTAAAGATGATGGATTAGTCGAAGGCAAAGTAAAAAAATGAAAATGAGATGAATAATTTGAGAAAACTTCTCTATTATTTAGGAGTGGAGTTTATAAGAGATTCTATTAAAAAGACCATTATAATGAATCAAAGCAAGTACATTGAAGATGTGTTGAAATGATTCAATATAAAAGAGTGTAAGCCTATAGGTACACTTTTGGAAGCCAATTGAGGTTGATGAAGCTTGTGGATGAAGAATTTGCTAAAATTGAAGGATAAATACAAGGTATTCTATATAAGACAATAGTAGTGTCACTTATATATGCAATGGTTGGCATAAAGATGGATCTTGTATATATAATGAGTGTAGTAAACTAACACATGTTAAAGTCTAGACCAATTCATTAGACAACCATCAAAAGGATCATGAGGTACTTAAAAGATACTTTGCATTTGAAATTATGCCTTGGACGTGATAATATTAGTTTGCATGGTTATTGTAATGCAAATTGGGCTAGAGATACAAATGATAGATGGTCAACAATAGAATATATTTTCTTTATTGGAGTAAGAGTTATTTTATGGAATTGCAAGAGACAACCAACAATTGTAAGATCAACAATGGAAATGGAGTATATGACAACAATCTATAGTGCAATAGAGACAATATGGCTAAGACAACTTTTGGAGGATATTAGAGTATTACAAATAGAACCAATTTTAATGGAGTTTGAGAATTAAGGATGTCTCGCATTTGCAAAGAATCCAAAGCATCATTTTAGGACCAAGTACATTGACATTTAACATCATTTCATAAGAAAAAAAATTGAAATAAGATTAATTGATATGAAGTATTGTGCAATAGAAGATATGCTTGCTGATTTTTTAATCAAGGCATTAATAAAGCATAGACATCACATATTGACAAAGGCATTAGCATTGAAATCTTTTGACTAATAGAAAAATAAAACTATTAAGTAAGTAAATAAAAGTGAAACTAGAATAAGTTATATTATAGAGAATATTTTTTTAGGGATGTTACTATTAGTCAAAGGGTTGGCTCTTGATATATAAGAAGGCCAAGAAAGAAGATAGATTAACAGACAAAAGATCTTAGGGAGATAAAAAATATGCTTAAAGCATATTTTTATAGTAGATAAGATAGCCATAGATAATCTTGGTAGAATGTTAGATGCATGTATTTATCAAAAGATGGAAGTTGTCTATTAGGATAGTAACCACCACCTATAAGTAATGGATGTTGGAAGTAAGAAACATCTTAATCCATAATTTATTTATGAAGAATTTTACTCATGCTATGTATTAGTGACTTCAAAGTTCTTTTTCTTCAATAGAAATTGATATCTTTATAAAGAAGCTTCTCACAAAACAAACTTTATATTGATAGAACTTGGTCAATGTTTTCATCTTGTAGGTTTGGCACAAGGCCAAACTTTATCTGCATAGTTGATTTTTAAAGGATCTACAATTCTTTCACCATAGTGAATTTGATGTGCATATTTCAACGTGACTGCTGTAACTATAGATTGGTATTCTTTCACAAGGATTGTGTTAAGTAGCACCTCTCTCAATCATCCAGAGAAATACTATTGAGGCCTTATTTCAGGACATTTTGCTAAGTTTATTTTGATGAAATTAGGGATTTTTTTTGAAAAAGCACTAATTGAAAGAGGCATAGTTATCAAGAATCACTTTTGAAACTTACACAATTATAGCTTTTATAATTTATATTTTTAGTTTTTATTTCTTGTATTAGTTTTTTTAAGCATGTAAAAGGTTAATGAATTATTATATAATGCATAGAAATGTATGATTGGAAGCTTTTTCATCCTTGTGGTAGAATCTTTTTTTTAAAAAAAAATAAGCCTTTGTCGATTTAAGAATGCAATTCTCTCTTCATGTTATAGAATCACCTAACATACATATAGATGAATTTTTTGATACCTCCTTAGAGTAGATTAATGCTTTCTTGGACCTACACTTTGTTGTCATGTTTTACTAGAGTTTATCCTATAACTGTATACATAAAGTCACTGTAGTACTACCAAGCAAAGTGAACCTAGCATACAACCCATGTAGATGATGACTAAGCATGATATGCTATAGCATTTAGAATATTATTGTTAGAGAGAAAAAGAAGAGAGGAGTAAATAAATTATAACTATAATTATGATACTTTTTAATCTTTCTATATATTTTATAAATAATAAGTTAAAAATATAATATATATTTTTAAAATTATAATTATAATTAGTAATTTTTATAATCAAAATATTCACAATATAACACTAAATGTTATCTACTATTTGAAACTTATTTTTTGATATATTTAATAGTAGTTGAAAATAAAAATATTTTTATTTTTATTTTTTTCAATGTTTATTACAACAAATCAAAAATGTACTAGATATATGTATATATATATATATATATATATATTTGTGCATGAAATTATTCTTTTTAATATTTAATGTACTTAAATATATGTAATCTCTTTTAAAACTTCAAATTTTAAATAAAAACTGCCAACTTTTGCTGAAAGAACAAATAGGACACTCTGAAACAATGATTATTTCAAAAAAATGAAAATAGCTAATGACCACCTAAAAAATTATAAAAAAATAAAGATTTTTTTTTTTGTTTAATGTTGTATTTTCATAAATTCATTTATTTATATATATATATATATATATATTCACACTAAAAACCCTAGAATAAATAATTCAGCGAAATTCTATTTGGGTATCCGGAGGGTATCAACTGCACGCCAAAGGACAGACGGCAACCAGAAGGACCTGCCTGGGCGATGGTCACAGGATATCTGACCGGTACCGTTGCTAACCGATACTCTCTCAGCTTTAGTATATATCCATTTTCGACCACCCTGTTGATACCTGGCCAGTCCTCAACTTCGTGGTCCGCTCCCAGTTTGGTTGCTCGCGGAGCTGCTCTGTGTGTTGCCGCATCTCCTTTTCCTCGCGACGTGGAGTGCTTCGGATCCTCCGAGGAAGCTGAATCTATCTCAGGGATGCCGTGAAGGAAGTCGCCGAAGAAGACCCACAATTCTGTAGCTCCGTCGGGGTCTGTGCGAGCTCGTTCGGTCCAGAATTCGCCTTCTTCTGTGCATTCGGGAGGCTCACCGTTGCTAGGCAGCAGGGGGAGCAAGAGACCGATACTATGTCGCAGCATCCTGTGTGGGTGACCCGGCTTGCTCTTGGCGGTGCAGCGTAAGGGCACACTCCTATTCACGTTTCTGTGTGTTTTTTCGGGTTATGGTGGTAGCTTGATAATGTCTCCATGCCTGCTGAAGTCACCCCTAGTCCACGACGCCAGTATTTCATTTTAGAAACTGATTTGTGTAAACGTGCGGTTTGATTGTGCTTGTGTGACTAAGAGAATATGAGGAGAAATTGTCGTGAGATTGATAATAAAAGAAAAAAAAGTCGACGAAATTGCGTCGGGGCGGAGACTTCTCGAAGTAACACGATAGTCTCATCGTGGGCTCCGTTTTGCCATGTTGGGGGTGTGGAGAAATTGTCTCAAAGAGTGCAGTACTTTCGTCATGCTTGGGCTCGTTACTTGACCTTCGACTTAAACTGTAAATCTATAAAGCGCGTCCGAGGGAGAGAATCATGAGATGTTGAGATTTATAAGATGTTAGATAATCTTTCCAGTTTGAATTGGACGGCATGCCCGACCTCGACCTGAGATGTTACAGACACAATACAGCAACTCGTTAGACATTGAGTTCACCCACGGGCTGCGTTGAAATTCTGACGTCTCTGCTGAAGGGAGGCATTTGACCGAGTGGAGATGATTGAGAGAGACCTGGGTTACTCTTCTACAACAATTCATTTTGCATGTACATTACAAATACCCTGATTCAGCTTCACTCTCGTTTCCTCACGCAGGCTGCTCGTGTTCGGTGTCACAACATATGACATACACCGGTCCATCGAAGCAAACCAGACCCCACCCACAAAGGAACAAGTCGCTGCACTGGGTGCTCAGATTAAGGAGTCAAGGCAATCGGACGAGCCTTCCAACCGGTCTACCTGAGGTTATGTAACCACAGATTTGTAGTTACAGGCGAAGTAGTTGGATTTCGGATGATGGTCGCAGTGGATTTTTTGAACTCTTGACAGATCAATTTTTGTAAACCTCGGCCAGCACTTTCGAAGAGTAGCACCGAATCAAATTGTGGTAAATCGATTGCTCTCACCGCACAGTTGTAATGGTGACTGCAGATGTTCACTTGTGCTCATTTATGCTTGATAGGTATTGTTCAGTCACTTAGCTAGTGCATCTTCCTTCACGTAGAAAATCAGCACTGATCAGGCAGGCAGACAGGCAGGCAGATGTGGGTCTGTATTCCGAACGAGCTCCACTGCACATTGGTAAAACCCTAGAATGTCCTTTCATTAGATATTTCTCTATTCAACCATCGTCTCGGATACCTAGATATCCATGAAAACCAATGTTTTTTTTATCAGATTTTGAGCTGGGTAGACTGTTGAGAATCACTATCACCAGGGCTAGAACTTGCAAGCAGAACAGGCTCTTCCTCTCATGGATGAGTTTGTTGTGTTGAACTGCAAGAAAAGTGTACTTTGTTGAGGGTGGTTTTCCATGCGAATGAACTCGAACCGTGCTGTCCTGCCACCATCACTTTTTAATAACGCCCTATCCGACGCAAAAAAATTTCGCACACATTGAAGTGACAAACTAGTTCTGACAGCTCATGTGAAAGCATCACTTACTATGGGGTAAGGATTGATTAAATTACTATAATCTCTCTTTGAAAAGTAAATCAATAAAAGAGCACCCTCCAAACACTTCAATTGTGGTATATAAATATATATATATATATATATATATGAATATTTTTCCCTTATAGAAGACTTGGAATAGAATCTTTGTTGAGTAGTCATATTATTGGATATTAATATCATTGTAAGATAATACTATGTTTATCAAAAAAATAAAATAAAATAAAATAAATGACAATAATAAGTAATTTTGTGGTTTCTTTAAATCAATGTTATCTTTATTGGTTTTATATTTAATAAAATTCATAATTAATTATTTTTGTTATGTATTCTTTAAGAGTTTTTAATGTTTGTTTTCTTTTCCATCTAACTTTATATTTGTTGAGAATGTTTAGAAAGACACAAGAATAGTAGTAAGTAATATATACACACACAAGAGAGTTTCTAAAGATAGAAAACTTCATACATAAGTCTATTGATCTAGTTGTGTCATATATATAAGAGGAGAAGAAGAGAGGATAAACAGTTCCTCTCCACTACATTCCAAATACTATACCTATAATATTTACTATAGATTACAATAAATATTATGAAGAGGGTCGGCTACATTTAATGCTCTCAACACTTCTCCTTGCTCATCATAATATTTATATAATGTAAAATTTGTATAGAATTATGATCTATACTTTTCTGTAATCTCGCAAGATCAACAATTGTTGCCTTATTAAAACCTTATCTAGAAAAACCTTATTATATTTAAGTGCAAAACCATAAATGAAGGAAAAAGAGTACATCATCATTTTCCTTGATTATTTAAAGAGCTCATTAACTTTTTTATTCAAGAAAAGCAAGTTGTCGCATATCAATGCCATAAGTAAGTCGATGATGGTTGCACAATAGGAGAGCTTTGGTGAAGAGATCAGCAAGGTTACTTGCATATTCAATTTTCTTAATTATAAGTGCTTGATCAGTAATGAAATCATGGGTATAACTAAAATACTTTGAATCAATATGCTTTGTCTTGTCGCCTTTAATGAAACCAACTTACATCTGAGTAATACAAGCACTATTGTCTTTATCCAAGATAGTTGGAGAATTATCATATAGAAATCCACAGATTGTTTAAATGAATTTATCAATTGATTGCAACCAAATACATTCTCAAGATACTTCATGTAAGGCAATAATTTCTACATGGTTGGATGAAGTTGCAGTTATTGTTTGTTTCACTGATTTGCATAATATTCCAACTCCATGTCTTAAAAATACATATCCTATTTGAGATTTACTTGTTGCAGTATCAGATTTATATCCCACATCACAATATCCAACCAATTTTGGATTTTCAAATTGTGTGTAGTATAATCTCAAGTCTTCAATACCTTTTAAATAATGTAATAAATGTTTGATGCCATTCCAATGTTGTAGTGTTGGACGTGCACTATGTCTTGCAAAAACACTAATTGCAAATACAATATCTGATCTTATAGATGTAGCCAAATATAAAAGTGATCCAACCGTTGCAAGGTATGGATATTGATCTCTCAATACTACCTCCTCCTCCTCCTCGCATGGACCATATGGATCATGACCATCACGACCACGTCCAACTATTGGTATGGACAATAGATAAGCATCAATCATATTGAATCTCTACAAGATTTGTCTAATATACATTAGTTGGTAGAGAAAAATACTACCATCTATGAGATGCATAATTTGAAGACCAATGCAGTAAGTTATTTTTCTTAGCATTTTCATTTCAAATTTACGTATAAGTAGGTTAATAGCTGTAATACATGCAGATTTAGTCCCCACTAAGTTAAGATCATCTACATATATAGCGATGATCACAAATCTAGTTTAATCTTGTTTGATAAAAAAATAAGAGATTAATGGATTACTTACAAACTTATGTGTAATTAAATAATCTCAAAGACGTTGATACCACATGGATTTAGATTGTTTTAAACCATATAAGGCCTTACATAATTTAATACCATGATATTGTCCTAGAGTAGGTCCATTTGGAGTTCTTATTTCTAAGCCATGTGGAACTTTCATATAAATATTTGCATCAAGAGAATTATATAGATATGCAATTACTACATCCTTCAAATGCATCTCAAGGGTGGCATGAATTGCCATTCCAATAATATATCAAAATGTAATTGAATCCATGACTAGAAAATATGTGGATTCATAATCAATGCCAAATCGTTGAGTAAATCCTTGAGCAATAAGATGAGCTTTATAGTAGATTATTTGACCTTGAGCATTTTGCTTGCATATTAATACCATCTTATATCCCATAGGGAAGATGTAAGAGTGTCTATAATTGAATCAAAGACTTTCTTCTTACGCAAAGAAGCATACACTTCTTCAATAGTAATTTTTCATTTTGACCAATCAAAGCAATACATGGCTTCCTCAATGGTTTGAGGTTCAGGATCGTCTTTCTAGCAAGAAAAGGCTTCTATAATCATATATGCAAATGATTCATCTACCATAATAGATGGTCTGTCCGAAATATCGTTTGTAGCACAATACGGAATAGATAATTTTTTATTCAACTTGTTCTTATTCCTTCCAATTCCAAGATTGTTTTTCACAAGAATTGAAAATATATTATGCAGGAATATATCATCATGAATTGGTGGTAATTTCTTGAGAAATAATACCAGGATTAGTCAATATTATAGCTTTTTTCTTATGTGCTCGCTTATCTAGTCCACAAGTTCTTTTAATTGTTGTTGTTATAACTTGAGATATTATAGTCAGTGGCACTACAATATGAGCAAGAGCATTGTAAGCCTCATTGATAGGAACTCTTATAATTTTAGATGCATCATTGAAGCCATCAGGTGTTTCATCTACAATCCATTTTAGATGCAAAATCTTAGCAACTTCAGTTTCAGCCAAAGATGTCCTAGGATCAAAATTCATTGTAAATGTTTTCGGTGCTTCAAATACAAATACTTTATTTCTTTGTTGATTGGATACTCTTCCTTGAAGACTTGGGAATACATTCTCTTCAAAACAAATTTTTTGCAAACGTACATGTAATAATGTGTCAGTTGATGGATCAATAATATGAATAATGTTTGGTGAATCAAAACCAACATAAATGCCTTCTTGTCGATGAGCTCCAATGGTACACTATTGAGGTTCTAGTATTGGAATCCAAGTACAACAACCAAATACTTATAAGTGAGATACATTTGAAACACGACTCGAAATAAGCTCATATGGTGAAACAATTTCAAGAGAAGAAGGGCTGAGGCATATTAATACTACAGCATGTAAAATTGCATGATCCCACATAGATGCAAGTAAATTTGCGTGAAGGAAGAGTGATCTGGTAATGAGTTGTATATGCTTTATAAATGACTCAGTAAGTTCATTTTGAGCATATTCATATCGAACACAATATGTCAATTCAATTCTTGTTGCACTACAATAGTTTTCAAAAGACTTTGATGCAAATTCTTTTATATAATCCATATGTAATGTTTTTATAGGATAATCTAGAAAATGTGCTTGAAAATGAATAAGCATAGATGTAAGATTAGAAAACACCATGTTTTGAGTTGATAATAATAAAACATGTGATTGTTTACTTGATGCATCAACAAGGACCAAAAAATAACGAAATGGTCTAGATATTGGATTAATAGGATCACAAATATCACCATGAAATCTTTTAAGTATTGGTGGTAATTCTTATGGGAGTTTCTAAATTGAAGGCCAAGTAATCATCTTATTTTGTATACAGACACAACACAATTCGATAGAATCTATATCCACAAGCTTTAAATTGTACCCAGTTATACATAGAATAATCTTTCTAAATAATATAGATCTTGGATGTCCCAATTGTCTATGCCAAAGAGAAGTACGACTCTTTGTGATAGATGATGAAAAATTAAATATAATGGGAGGCTGAATTGAAATTCAGTATAAACCATTTTCTATAGAAAAAGCTTTTTCAACAACTTAATGATTCTTTGCAAGAACCAATATCTCTTTTCTATTTAAAATGGCAGTCGAGAGGTGTTAACCATTGATACGCACATCTTGATAGCTGATCAAACTCTGAGGTGCTGACGGTGCAAACATTGCATGTTTACATTTTATGATGGAACTTGCAAGTAATTTTACCATCGCTATACCTTCTTGGAAAAAAAACGCATTTGCTCCAGCCATGGTCATCATATTTTTAGTTTGCTAAGTTGAAGTTTTTTCAATAAAAAATTGTCTATCATACAGGATAGTATGTATTATTGCAGAATCAACGAGCGCATCATTTGATTCATCATTAGAGGTTTTGTCATTCATATAAGCCTCTAAATCATCAATACCAATAGAATCCATGGTATGAATTTCATGAGCCTCAGCTCGTAGTTTCTTATTTTTTTTAGAATATTTTAATAAAATATTCTAAAATATGGCATACATATACTAAATGTCTAATAATTCCATACTTATGGCACGAATGCATCTTTGCTTCTTTTTTTTTTATTATAATTATTAGTAGAATGCTTATTCTTTCTATATGGCTTGAAATGGTCATGATTATGACTACCCTGATACTTATAAGCATGTTTTCCATGTTTATATAATTTTTTCTTAGACTTTGAAATATTAAGTGTATGAGATTTTGGAACTATGGTTTGAATATGATGAGCTTTCGCATTACACAATAGTAACTCATTTTGCTTCTCT